AAGTATTGATGTTCTATTTTATGAGGTTAATATTTCATTAGATAGTGTTCAGAGTTGGTATGATAATAATTGTTTAGAGTTAAACCTAAAAAAGTCTTATTATAAAGTATTTAATCTTAGATCAAATTCAACTACCTTACATAATCTTTTCATTTGTCCACATTCCTTAAACTGTAAAAATAAAATTGTGTCCTGTAATTGTCAACATATTCAAAGAGTAAATCATATTAAATATTTAGGGTTAATATTTGATGAAAAACTAAAATGGAGTTATCATGTGGATAAATTGGTTAACACTATCAGGAAATTATTTTATAACTTTAAAGGCTTAAAAGATATTTTAGATATTAATCACTCGAGAATTATTTAAATGTCATTAGTTCAATCTTTAGTTTACTATGGATTGCCCTTTTGGGGTGGTACCTATGAATATTATTTGACTCCTTTAAATACAACTATTAATAGTTTAATAAAAGTTATTATCTCGAAGCCGTTTCTATATCCAACAAATCAGTTATACATTGACTTTAATGTACAACGTATATCCATGTTATATTATAAATCTTTGCTTTTACTTGTATATAAATATAGACATTGTTTGAATACCATAGAGCATAATTATAATACTAGAAATAAATGTCATTCTAATCTTAATTCTATTAAATGCTATAAGACTGTAACCTCTCAGAGTCCTATTTACAAATGTACATTGTTGTGTCATAAATTAAATTTAAATCTTTTTAACTTCAATAATATTAAATCTTTACAATTATATATTAAGCTTAACCAGTTTAATTATGTTACACTTAATTATGAAATTAAGTGTTTATTAAATTTTAAGTCATTTCGTTTCTATATTATAATGTTAAAAGAAACTCTCACTTCTTAGCACAAGCTTTTAGCTTTTTAGATGTGAGTCAATATAATTTATTCTTATTTTGTACTATATTACTTCTTAGTTGTACCGAAAATTTTATATTGGCAAAATACTTATTATTATTATTATATCACTTACCTAAGGGTTGTACAGTATTTATAATCAATAAATGCCATGTAAAAAAATATATTAGATACATAAGATTAAGACGATGACATAACATAGATATAAACCAATTATTGCTAGACACACCGTATTAGAGCGATTTTTACAACATGTACCTAATAAACGATGTCGTGTAGATATCAAACGATACCTCCATGCATCGTTATCACAAATTATCAATCTTCTGGTACACGATTTAGAATTCTGTGATATCGTATAATAAACACAATATCGTGATAGCAACCCACGGTCGACGATACCAACCCACGGTGGTCCGAGACATTTCGCACCCGCTATGTAGATGCCCGAAATTTAGTTAAAAAAAAAAAAAAAAAAAAAAGCGGGTAAAAGAATAGGCGGTAGACACGGCGGTGGCGATGGACGACGAACGGGTCGGTGTAGCGTTAGGCACAGTGTGAAACGTATTTTTGGCGCGCGCGGGAAGTAGTCGGCGGCGACGGCGGCCGCGTTATAGTCGATATGAGCACAGATTATATGAAAACAGATTGTCCACTCTCGATGTAAACAAAAAATGAGCTGATAAGCACTCCGCCGAAACCAGTGTGACCATGTCAGCCGGAACGAAATTATCGAACTTGTATTTACCACAAATTATATGATTATTTCATATAATCTCATATAATTTCATATAATCACAAATTATATGATTATTTCATATAATCTGTGTATTTATCATATTAAATGTTAAAAAAATAATAAATGTTATATCGGTAATAATATTGATCCCGTCGATAACACTCTATCATTATCTCAAAGACATTTCATTACTAACACTGATATATATATATCAGTGTTGGAAAGATTGCATTTATTGGATTTCATTCCTTTTTAGAGGAATGCAATCATGAATGTATTACATTTAGTTTTAAGGAATGAGGAATGGGAATTAATTAACCTTATGTCGGAATGTGAATGAATTCTAAAAAAAGAAACACTTCATGGCAATTTAGTAATTTTTAATTGACTGTAATTTACTAATTTATATTTAATTTATGATATATTTTATACATTTTTTCATAGCAAATGAACAGATTGATGAACAATAAATAATCAATTATTAACATTTTTTAAACAGTTTTAAAGGAATTAATTTTCTGAAAAAACGAATGTCTTACATCAGATGAATCACCTGTAGTTTATACAAGGTGATCTTTTGGTTGACATTATTATTCTGACCAAAAAAAATTAAAATTATTAAAACATATTTTTATATTTAAATTTGTTTTCATTCATAATACTTAAAATAGCATCTAAGTCTTTTATACAGTTTGCATTTTCAGAATAATGGAAATGGTTCTGGCAAAACATTTTTTTTAAACGACCAAAAATGGACTGGTGTCGAATTTATATTACTCCCATTTCCCACCCCCTAGGATGGTTACAAGTTTTTTTTGTTTTTAAGCCATAATTTTGGGACCTTTAAGTTGAAAATTTGTCAGTTGTTAGTACTCATATGTATCCGTAACATGTTAAACGGAAAACAATTCGGCACTTCAGTTTTTTATACTATTTTACTAACAATTATACTATTTTATTTATGTGAACTTTGTGATTTATTAATTTTTACTAATTATTTCATGATCATTATTTTTTATTTATTTTAACCTATTAGCAGGCGCGTATGCGCATTTTGTACGCCAAATATACTTTTAAAGGCACGACTTTTATCTGAGTAGCCTATAGAATTAGAGTAAATAAAAAATTAGTTATATTAAAACACGTATAACTAGGTATATAAATATGCAATACTTTTTTATAATAATTTGTATTATTTTATTTATAATTATTTTTTGTTTATTATTTTTGAATTGATATTATTTTTACAATAACAATGTAATTAAATACTGCGTGTCAATACTATTCATAGTTGATTAATGCTCTGTCAGTTGTCATGCCCTATGGTGGACAGCTTACTATTTCTCTATGTTAGAAATAATTAAAATTGTATATTAATAAGTATGGATATGTTATGTTTATTGTTTATAACGCATTATATTTTTACTTATTGGGAATTTTAAAATGTCTTATTATTTATTAATTGTAATTTATTATTGAAATTAAAATTATTGCCCTTGGATAAGTCATACTATATAGTGCGTAAGATAATATAATACAACTGTAATTGTAAGAATAATATTATTAAATTATTATTATTATCATTATGGTTATTAATATTTATAAAATGTTTGGTAAATACAAGAGAAACATTCTGTTTCACTCAATTATTTAACAAATGCGAAAGCCCGCGAACACGTTTAAAAACAAATTCCCTTCAGACGGTCATACTGATTTTGGCGGGCCAATCATAGAGCCTTATTTGCAATCCTATTGTTAAAGGCCCGAGTGAACAATCTGTTTTCATATAATCTGTGATATGAGTTTGTTAGGTTGTAGAACGCGGTGTGTAAAGGAATTATTATTTTCTATACTCTGCGCCATGAGAGAAGTAACCCGTTTCGCGCATCACGACTGTCCCGAGGCCCCATTTCCCCCACTTTGTGCCATTCGGTGTCGCGCTGAGGCGTGCATACAGCGCGAAACAGACGATATACAGAGTGATTGTGTATAGAGTATATTATTTATTATAATTTATAAATATTTATATTTATAAATTAACATAATTTATTATATTATTATTTTATTTATTATAATAATATAATATGTTATTATTATAACATATTTTTACAACCAGGTCAAGTGAGGTCAGAGGTTTTTGTGTACAGGCAAAGGAAAGCCGCGTCCCGACTTTTGGTGTACAGGCAAAGAAATGACGCATCCCAAACCTTCGTGTATAACCTAATTATATAAATTAAAACTAAAGAATATTTAAATTAAATATGAATTTAATATTTATTATAAAATATATAATATATTATTTATTATTATATTATTATTATAATAATAATATAATAATGTAATAATTCAACAGTAAACGCAAGCGCGTGGTTCAAAGACGTAAGACGTGAGTCTTATGACTTATGACACACTGTATCGAGTTTACGTTATAATACACCCTATATATGCAGCGCCGCCGCCGCCGCCGACCGTGGGTGTGGCCTATCGGTGGCGATGCGCGGAATCGGACGCGTTTCGGTCGAGCAACGGGTTACTTCTCTCATGGCGCAGAGTATATCCGGTTTGTCCGACGGGAGGGATGGACGCGTTACTAAAAAAAAAAAAATAAAAAACCCCGTAGATTGTGGCGCGTCGTTTAAAACTATATTATCTGAAAGTAGGTAGATACGGGCTCCGCACGTTTCCGCGGCACTGAATTTAAAACACACGGACAGTGACGATATCAATAGGTTCTGATAAGTTTGTGAAAACTGAAAACTAAATAATATAACAATTAATAATATATCACTTGCTAATGTGAAATGGCCATTGTTGAGCTGGCGTTTGTATTTTGTGTATCGAATAGCCTATGTACGATTAATTATAAAAGTCAAATTTTTTTTTGAAATTTTAGGAAAATATGAAAAAACCCGTTTAATAAAATGTCCAAAACAAACGGTCTTTACCTACAAATTGCAATTTTTTTTACATACATATATAGCTAATTTAAGTGTTATCTATAGCTAATATTGTTTTCCCGTTTTTTTTCTAATTTGTGTAGTAATTTTATAAATTTTTAGTAATATAATGTGAATAAATTCGATGAATGTACAAATAAAACACACGTGTACAGACCAACGACAAACATAATAAATGATACAAAAGACGATAACGCACACGGCGTCAAAACAAAAGGCGGTCGTCGGTCGGTGATATTGTCTATACAAATTAAAAACCCCAGATATTAATAACTTAAATAGGGTACAACACTACGAATAATAATAATATTATAACGGGAGACGAGACCGTGTATCAAAATAATTTGGTGGCCCTGAAAAGGGCCGTTTTAAGTGGATATAGCGCGCGACTAATATCGAAACGCTTATTTGGAACTGGTGTACTTGGTCACGGCCTTGGTGCCTTCACTGACGGCGTGCTTGGCCAATTCACCGGGCAACAGCAGACGGACGGCGGTCTGGATCTCCCGGCTGGTGATGGTCGAACGCTTGTTGTAGTGGGCCAGACGGCTGGATTCGGCGGCGATGCGTTCGAAAATGTCGTTGACGAAGCTGTTCATGATGCTCATCGCCTTGGAGGAAACGCCGGTGTCGGGGTGGACTTGTTTCAACACCTTGTAGATGTAAATACCGTACGATTCTTTCCTCTTCGGCTTGCGCTTCTTGTCGGACTTGGTGATGTTTTTCTGCGCCTTGCCGGACTTCTTCATGGCCTTGCCTGCGGATTTACCTCCTGGTGCCATAGTGACTGCGGTTGTACACGGTTTGCGGGTCGTCGAAATAGTTGGCCGGTAGCTGGTGGACGAATGATGGTTCGAAAATCGTTTACGCTCATATTTATTACGCGTCGCGACTTGGTTTATCGAGTACGGTTTGTAAGAGTCGACGAAAAAACGACGAGTAAAAATAACACTTTGCATTGAACGTTTATATCTACAAAGTGTGGTTTTTCATCGTCGTTATTTTCAAACGTAGGCCAACATACAGACGCTTTTACGTCGTAAAAGTGTATAAATACCGATTTTGGCCCGTTCCGATCATCAGTATCGTCTGGATTTTCTCTCGTTTCACTACACGACAATCTACAATCGAGCATCATGACCGGACGCGGCAAAGGAGGAAAAGCAAAGAGCGGCAAATCGAAGACCCGGTCGTCCCGTGCCGGACTCCAGTTCCCGGTCGGTCGTATCCATCGTCTGTTGAGGAAGGGCAACTACGCCGAGCGCGTCGGTGCCGGCGCTCCCGTGTACCTGGCCGCCGTCATGGAGTACTTGGCCGCTGAAGTGTTGGAGTTGGCCGGTAACGCCGCCCGTGACAACAAGAAGACCCGTATCATCCCCAGACATTTGCAGTTGGCCATCAGGAACGACGAGGAGTTGAACAAACTGTTGTCCGGCGTCACCATAGCCCAAGGCGGTGTGTTGCCCAACATCCAAGCCGTCCTTTTGCCCAAGAAGACCGAAAAGAAAGCTTAAGAACGCGTCGTCGCCGTATTTATACATATTAAAACGGCCCTTTTCAGGGCCACCAAATATTAACTAGTTATACAACACTCTTGTTGTTTTCGGCATAGATGACGTGCGGCGTTGTGCTAAATATCGTTGTATTATTTTGTCAAGCCTTAGAAAATATAAGTATATTTAAAAAAAAATAATTGTAACATAGAATTTCAACAAATCTACCTTAGTCCTTTTTTTATTTTTTCAAGGTCAAAAGCAATTTATAAAATGTGTCTGTTAACTTAAATTGGAAATAATACTCAAGTATAGTAATATACATAAATACTTTTTTTTTTTTTTTTGTCTTTTCATTAATATTGTCATCAATGTTAATAGATTTAGATCAAAGACTTACAATATTATGTACCCATTTGCGATTACAAATATACAATTAGTATGTTACATTTTTTATACTATATTATACATTTAGTTTGTTTTGTGTCGATTAGCATGTATATTACGGAGTACATATTATTCTGTATGTACTATAAAATATTAATTTGAACAATTACATAGTATACCGTTAAAACTACTCGTGTATGTTATTATAAAGGCAATACACTATAACGTTATGTTAGTTTATACGGTATATATACTTAGAACACTCATTAAATATACTCGACTGCATTAAATGACATATGAACGTTAACCGATAATATTGTAAATAATATAAAATGGTGGCCCTGAAAAGGGCCGTTTTAAAGAACAGTAGGTAGGGTGCAAAGCGAACGGTCGTCGGGAATTAACCTCCGAATCCGTACAGAGTGCGGCCTTGGCGTTTCAGAGCGTAGACCACGTCCATGGCGGTGACGGTCTTCCTCTTGGCGTGCTCGGTGTAGGTGACGGCGTCGCGGATTACGTTTTCCAGGAACACCTTCAACACTCCGCGGGTCTCTTCGTAGATCAGGCCGGAGATACGTTTGACACCACCGCGGCGGGCTAACCGACGAATGGCCGGCTTGGTGATTCCTTGGATGTTGTCCCGGAGCACTTTACGATGACGTTTGGCGCCTCCTTTTCCCAAACCTTTTCCTCCTTTGCCGCGTCCGGTCATTGTTGCTGATTGTCGTTCGGAGAGCTGCGGTAGACTGAAGAAACAAATCGAATGATGCCCGGACAACGTTTTCGCGCCGTATTTATATGATCGGGCCGTCGCGCGGACCAATCACGGCGCGGTATCGCGCGAACCCCCTCTGTTTCGGCAGGTCGTTCCGTCGACCAATGAGAACTCGCGCCTATGATCCGAATTTGTATATATATACGAGCTCATTCGGTGTGCGGAGACATATTCGACCGTTTCGAGTTTTCACAGACAGTCTACGAACTACCGACATGGCCCGTACCAAGCAAACCGCCCGCAAATCTACCGGAGGCAAGGCTCCCAGGAAGCAGTTGGCCACCAAAGCCGCCCGCAAGAGCGCACCGGCGACCGGAGGAGTGAAGAAACCCCATCGTTACCGTCCCGGTACCGTGGCTCTCCGTGAAATCCGTCGTTACCAGAAGAGCACCGAGCTGTTGATCCGCAAATTGCCGTTCCAACGTTTGGTCCGTGAGATCGCCCAAGACTTCAAGACCGACTTGCGTTTCCAGAGCTCGGCCGTCATGGCTCTGCAAGAAGCCAGCGAAGCATACTTGGTCGGTCTGTTCGAAGACACCAACTTGTGCGCTATCCACGCCAAGCGCGTTACCATCATGCCCAAGGACATCCAGTTGGCTCGCCGTATTCGCGGAGAACGTGCTTAATCGTCTCAATACTCTACAAATCCTCTTTAAAACGGCCCTTTTCAGGGCCACTACATGCGTTACAATTATTTCTTTATTGACCTTACAGCGGGCGCCGCGCTGTTGGTAAAATGAATACAACAGTTTTGTACTTAATAGTTTTATTATTATCGACGGTCGTGGGTATCCCCCCGAGAATGTTGTTACTTACATTTTTAAATTAATGTTGAAAATTCCCAACGACCCGTTTTTATTGAAGTATTATTTATATTAAAAAAAAAAGCGGGTAAAAGAATAGGCGGTAGACACGGCGGTGGCGATGGACGACGAACGGGTCGGTGTAGCGTTAGGCACAGTGTGAAACGTATTTTTGGCGCGCGCGGGAAGTAGTCGGCGGCGACGGCGGCCGCGTTATAGTCGATATGAGCACAGATTATATGAAAACAGATTGTCCACTCTCGATGTAAACAAAAAATGAGCTGATAAGCACTCCGCCGAAACCAGTGTGACCATGTCAGCCGGAACGAAATTATCGAACTTGTATTTACCACAAATTATATGATTATTTCATATAATCTCATATAATTTCATATAATCACAAATTATATGATTATTTCATATAATCTGTGTATTTATCATATTAAATGTTAAAAAAATAATAAATGTTATATCGGTAATAATATTGATCCCGTCGATAACACTCTATCATTATCTCAAAGACATTTCATTACTAACACTGATATATATATATCAGTGTTGGAAAGATTGCATTTATTGGATTTCATTCCTTTTTAGAGGAATGCAATCATGAATGTATTACATTTAGTTTTAAGGAATGAGGAATGGGAATTAATTAACCTTATGTCGGAATGTGAATGAATTCTAAAAAAAGAAACACTTCATGGCAATTTAGTAATTTTTAATTGACTGTAATTTACTAATTTATATTTAATTTATGATATATTTTATACATTTTTTCATAGCAAATGAACAGATTGATGAACAATAAATAATCAATTATTAACATTTTTTAAACAGTTTTAAAGGAATTAATTTTCTGAAAAAACGAATGTCTTACATCAGATGAATCACCTGTAGTTTATACAAGGTGATCTTTTGGTTGACATTATTATTCTGACCAAAAAAAATTAAAATTATTAAAACATATTTTTATATTTAAATTTGTTTTCATTCATAATACTTAAAATAGCATCTAAGTCTTTTATACAGTTTGCATTTTCAGAATAATGGAAATGGTTCTGGCAAAACATTTTTTTTAAACGACCAAAAATGGACTGGTGTCGAATTTATATTACTCCCATTTCCCACCCCCTAGGATGGTTACAAGTTTTTTTTGTTTTTAAGCCATAATTTTGGGACCTTTAAGTTGAAAATTTGTCAGTTGTTAGTACTCATATGTATCCGTAACATGTTAAACGGAAAACAATTCGGCACTTCAGTTTTTTATACTATTTTACTAACAATTATACTATTTTATTTATGTGAACTTTGTGATTTATTAATTTTTACTAATTATTTCATGATCATTATTTTTTATTTATTTTAACCTATTAGCAGGCGCGTATGCGCATTTTGTACGCCAAATATACTTTTAAAGGCACGACTTTTATCTGAGTAGCCTATAGAATTAGAGTAAATAAAAAATTAGTTATATTAAAACACGTATAACTAGGTATATAAATATGCAATACTTTTTTATAATAATTTGTATTATTTTATTTATAATTATTTTTTGTTTATTATTTTTGAATTGATATTATTTTTACAATAACAATGTAATTAAATACTGCGTGTCAATACTATTCATAGTTGATTAATGCTCTGTCAGTTGTCATGCCCTATGGTGGACAGCTTACTATTTCTCTATGTTAGAAATAATTAAAATTGTATATTAATAAGTATGGATATGTTATGTTTATTGTTTATAACGCATTATATTTTTACTTATTGGGAATTTTAAAATGTCTTATTATTTATTAATTGTAATTTATTATTGAAATTAAAATTATTGCCCTTGGATAAGTCATACTATATAGTGCGTAAGATAATATAATACAACTGTAATTGTAAGAATAATATTATTAAATTATTATTATTATCATTATGGTTATTAATATTTATAAAATGTTTGGTAAATACAAGAGAAACATTCTGTTTCACTCAATTATTTAACAAATGCGAAAGCCCGCGAACACGTTTAAAAACAAATTCCCTTCAGACGGTCATACTGATTTTGGCGGGCCAATCATAGAGCCTTATTTGCAATCCTATTGTTAAAGGCCCGAGTGAACAATCTGTTTTCATATAATCTGTGATATGAGTTTGTTAGGTTGTAGAACGCGGTGTGTAAAGGAATTATTATTTTCTATACTCTGCGCCATGAGAGAAGTAACCCGTTTCGCGCATCACGACTGTCCCGAGGCCCCATTTCCCCCACTTTGTGCCATTCGGTGTCGCGCTGAGGCGTGCATACAGCGCGAAACAGACGATATACAGAGTGATTGTGTATAGAGTATATTATTTATTATAATTTATAAATATTTATATTTATAAATTAACATAATTTATTATATTATTATTTTATTTATTATAATAATATAATATGTTATTATTATAACATATTTTTACAACCAGGTCAAGTGAGGTCAGAGGTTTTTGTGTACAGGCAAAGGAAAGCCGCGTCCCGACTTTTGGTGTACAGGCAAAGAAATGACGCATCCCAAACCTTCGTGTATAACCTAATTATATAAATTAAAACTAAAGAATATTTAAATTAAATATGAATTTAATATTTATTATAAAATATATAATATATTATTTATTATTATATTATTATTATAATAATAATATAATAATGTAATAATTCAACAGTAAACGCAAGCGCGTGGTTCAAAGACGTAAGACGTGAGTCTTATGACTTATGACACACTGTATCGAGTTTACGTTATAATACACCCTATATATGCAGCGCCGCCGCCGCCGCCGACCGTGGGTGTGGCCTATCGGTGGCGATGCGCGGAATCGGACGCGTTTCGGTCGAGCAACGGGTTACTTCTCTCATGGCGCAGAGTATATCCGGTTTGTCCGACGGGAGGGATGGACGCGTTACTAAAAAAAAAAAAATAAAAAACCCCGTAGATTGTGGCGCGTCGTTTAAAACTATATTATCTGAAAGTAGGTAGATACGGGCTCCGCACGTTTCCGCGGCACTGAATTTAAAACACACGGACAGTGACGATATCAATAGGTTCTGATAAGTTTGTGAAAACTGAAAACTAAATAATATAACAATTAATAATATATCACTTGCTAATGTGAAATGGCCATTGTTGAGCTGGCGTTTGTATTTTGTGTATCGAATAGCCTATGTACGATTAATTATAAAAGTCAAATTTTTTTTTGAAATTTTAGGAAAATATGAAAAAACCCGTTTAATAAAATGTCCAAAACAAACGGTCTTTACCTACAAATTGCAATTTTTTTTACATACATATATAGCTAATTTAAGTGTTATCTATAGCTAATATTGTTTTCCCGTTTTTTTTCTAATTTGTGTAGTAATTTTATAAATTTTTAGTAATATAATGTGAATAAATTCGATGAATGTACAAATAAAACACACGTGTACAGACCAACGACAAACATAATAAATGATACAAAAGACGATAACGCACACGGCGTCAAAACAAAAGGCGGTCGTCGGTCGGTGATATTGTCTATACAAATTAAAAACCCCAGATATTAATAACTTAAATAGGGTACAACACTACGAATAATAATAATATTATAACGGGAGACGAGACCGTGTATCAAAATAATTTGGTGGCCCTGAAAAGGGCCGTTTTAAGTGGATATAGCGCGCGACTAATATCGAAACGCTTATTTGGAACTGGTGTACTTGGTCACGGCCTTGGTGCCTTCACTGACGGCGTGCTTGGCCAATTCACCGGGCAACAGCAGACGGACGGCGGTCTGGATCTCCCGGCTGGTGATGGTCGAACGCTTGTTGTAGTGGGCCAGACGGCTGGATTCGGCGGCGATGCGTTCGAAAATGTCGTTGACGAAGCTGTTCATGATGCTCATCGCCTTGGAGGAAACGCCGGTGTCGGGGTGGACTTGTTTCAACACCTTGTAGATGTAAATACCGTACGATTCTTTCCTCTTCGGCTTGCGCTTCTTGTCGGACTTGGTGATGTTTTTCTGCGCCTTGCCGGACTTCTTCATGGCCTTGCCTGCGGATTTACCTCCTGGTGCCATAGTGACTGCGGTTGTACACGGTTTGCGGGTCGTCGAAATAGTTGGCCGGTAGCTGGTGGACGAATGATGGTTCGAAAATCGTTTACGCTCATATTTATTACGCGTCGCGACTTGGTTTATCGAGTACGGTTTGTAAGAGTCGACGAAAAAACGACGAGTAAAAATAACACTTTGCATTGAACGTTTATATCTACAAAGTGTGGTTTTTCATCGTCGTTATTTTCAAACGTAGGCCAACATACAGACGCTTTTACGTCGTAAAAGTGTATAAATACCGATTTTGGCCCGTTCCGATCATCAGTATCGTCTGGATTTTCTCTCGTTTCACTACACGACAATCTACAATCGAGCATCATGACCGGACGCGGCAAAGGAGGAAAAGCAAAGAGCGGCAAATCGAAGACCCGGTCGTCCCGTGCCGGACTCCAGTTCCCGGTCGGTCGTATCCATCGTCTGTTGAGGAAGGGCAACTACGCCGAGCGCGTCGGTGCCGGCGCTCCCGTGTACCTGGCCGCCGTCATGGAGTACTTGGCCGCTGAAGTGTTGGAGTTGGCCGGTAACGCCGCCCGTGACAACAAGAAGACCCGTATCATCCCCAGACATTTGCAGTTGGCCATCAGGAACGACGAGGAGTTGAACAAACTGTTGTCCGGCGTCACCATAGCCCAAGGCGGTGTGTTGCCCAACATCCAAGCCGTCCTTTTGCCCAAGAAGACCGAAAAGAAAGCTTAAGAACGCGTCGTCGCCGTATTTATACATATTAAAACGGCCCTTTTCAGGGCCACCAAATATTAACTAGTTATACAACACTCTTGTTGTTTTCGGCATAGATGACGTGCGGCGTTGTGCTAAATATCGTTGTATTATTTTGTCAAGCCTTAGAAAATATAAGTATATTTAAAAAAAAATAATTGTAACATAGAATTTCAACAAATCTACCTTAGTCCTTTTTTTATTTTTTCAAGGTCAAAAGCAATTTATAAAATGTGTCTGTTAACTTAAATTGGAAATAATACTCAAGTATAGTAATATACATAAATACTTTTTTTTTTTTTTTTGTCTTTTCATTAATATTGTCATCAATGTTAATAGATTTAGATCAAAGACTTACAATATTATGTACCCATTTGCGATTACAAATATACAATTAGTATGTTACATTTTTTATACTATATTATACATTTAGTTTGTTTTGTGTCGATTAGCATGTATATTACGGAGTACATATTATTCTGTATGTACTATAAAATATTAATTTGAACAATTACATAGTATACCGTTAAAACTACTCGTGTATGTTATTATAAAGGCAATACACTATAACGTTATGTTAGTTTATACGGTATATATACTTAGAACACTCATTAAATATACTCGACTGCATTAAATGACATATGAACGTTAACCGATAATATTGTAAATAATATAAAATGGTGGCCCTGAAAAGGGCCGTTTTAAAGAACAGTAGGTAGGGTGCAAAGCGAACGGTCGTCGGGAATTAACCTCCGAATCCGTACAGAGTGCGGCCTTGGCGTTTCAGAGCGTAGACCACGTCCATGGCGGTGACGGTCTTCCTCTTGGCGTGCTCGGTGTAGGTGACGGCGTCGCGGATTACGTTTTCCAGGAACACCTTCAACACTCCGCGGGTCTCTTCGTAGATCAGGCCGGAGATACGTTTGACACCACCGCGGCGGGCTAACCGACGAATGGCCGGCTTGGTGATTCCTTGGATGTTGTCCCGGAGCACTTTACGATGACGTTTGGCGCCTCCTTTTCCCAAACCTTTTCCTCCTTTGCCGCGTCCGGTCATTGTTGCTGATTGTCGTTCGGAGAGCTGCGGTAGACTGAAGAAACAAATCGAATGATGCCCGGACAACGTTTTCGCGCCGTATTTATATGATCGGGCCGTCGCGCGGACCAATCACGGCGCGGTATCGCGCGAACCCCCTCTGTTTCGGCAGGTCGTTCCGTCGACCAATGAGAACTCGCGCCTATGATCCGAATTTGTATATATATACGAGCTCATTCGGTGTGCGGAGACATATTCGACCGTTTCGAGTTTTCACAGACAGTCTACGAACTACCGACATGGCCCGTACCAAGCAAACCGCCCGCAAATCTACCGGAGGCAAGGCTCCCAGGAAGCAGTTGGCCACCAAAGCCGCCCGCAAGAGCGCACCGGCGACCGGAGGAGTGAAGAAACCCCATCGTTACCGTCCCGGTACCGTGGCTCTCCGTGAAATCCGTCGTTACCAGAAGAGCACCGAGCTGTTGATCCGCAAATTGCCGTTCCAACGTTTGGTCCGTGAGATCGCCCAAGACTTCAAGACCGACTTGCGTTTCCAGAGCTCGGCCGTCATGGCTCTGCAAGAAGCCAGCGAAGCATACTTGGTCGGTCTGTTCGAAGACACCAACTTGTGCGCTATCCACGCCAAGCGCGTTACCATCATGCCCAAGGACATCCAGTTGGCTCGCCGTATTCGCGGAGAACGTGCTTAATCGTCTCAATACTCTACAAATCCTCTTTAAAACGGCCCTTTTCAGGGCCACTACATGCGTTACAATTATTTCTTTATTGACCTTACAGCGGGCGCCGCGCTGTTGGTAAAATGAATACAACAGTTTTGTACTTAATAGTTTTATTATTATCGACGGTCGTGGGTATCCCCCCGAGAATGTTGTTACTTACATTTTTAAATTAATGTTGAAAATTCCCAACGACCCGTTTTTATTGAAGTATTATTTATATTAAAAAAAAAAGCGGGTAAAAGAATAGGCGGTAGACACGGCGGTGGCGATGGACGACGAACGGGTCGGTGTAGCGTTAGGCACAGTGTGAAACGTATTTTTGGCGCGCGCGGGAAGTAGTCGGCGGCGACGGCGGCCGCGTTATAGTCGATATGAGCACAGATTATATGAAAACAGATTGTCCACTCTCGATGTAAACAAAAAATGAGCTGATAAGCACTCCGCCGAAACCAGTGTGACCATGTCAGCCGGAACGAAATTATCGAACTTGTATTTACCACAAATTATATGATTATTTCATATAATCTCATATAATTTCATATAATCACAAATTATATGATTATTTCATATAATCTGTGTATTTATCATATTAAATGTTAAAAAAATAATAAATGTTATATCGGTAATAATATTGATCCCGTCGATAACACTCTATCATTATCTCAAAGACATTTCATTACTAACACTGATATATATATATCAGTGTTGGAAAGATTGCATTTATTGGATTTCATTCCTTTTTAGAGGAATGCAATCATGAATGTATTACATTTAGTTTTAAGGAATGAGGAATGGGAATTAATTAACCTTATGTCGGAATGTGAATGAATTCTAAAAAAAGAAACACTTCATGGCAATTTAGTAATTTTTAATTGACTGTAATTTACTAATTTATATTTAATTTATGATATATTTTATACATTTTTTCATAGCAAATGAACAGATTGATGAACAATAAATAATCAATTATTAACATTTTTTAAACAGTTTTAAAGGAATTAATTTTCTGAAAAAACGAATGTCTTACATCAGATGAATCACCTGTAGTTTATACAAGGTGATCTTTTGGTTGACATTATTATTCTGACCAAAAAAAATTAAAATTATTAAAACATATTTTTATATTTAAATTTGTTTTCATTCATAATACTTAAAATAGCATCTAAGTCTTTTATACAGTTTGCATTTTCAGAATAATGGAAATGGTTCTGGCAAAACATTTTTTTTAAACGACCAAAAATGGACTGGTGTCGAATTTATATTACTCCCATTTCCCACCCCCTAGGATGGTTACAAGTTTTTTTTGTTTTTAAGCCATAATTTTGGGACCTTTAAGTTGAAAATTTGTCAGTTGTTAGTACTCATATGTATCCGTAACATGTTAAACGGAAAACAATTCGGCACTTCAGTTTTTTATACTATTTTACTAACAATTATACTATTTTATTTATGTGAACTTTGTGATTTATTAATTTTTACTAATTATTTCATGATCATTATTTTTTATTTATTTTAACCTATTAGCAGGCGCGTATGCGCATTTTGTACGCCAAATATACTTTTAAAGGCACGACTTTTATCTGAGTAGCCTATAGAATTAGAGTAAATAAAAAATTAGTTATATTAAAACACGTATAACTAGGTATATAAATATGCAATACTTTTTTATAATAATTTGTATTATTTTATTTATAATTATTTTTTGTTTATTATTTTTGAATTGATATTATTTTTACAATAACAATGTAATTAAATACTGCGTGTCAATACTATTCATAGTTGATTAATGCTCTGTCAGTTGTCATGCCCTATGGTGGACAGCTTACTATTTCTCTATGTTAGAAATAATTAAAATTGTATATTAATAAGTATGGATATGTTATGTTTATTGTTTATAACGCATTATATTTTTACTTATTGGGAATTTTAAAATGTCTTATTATTTATTAATTGTAATTTATTATTGAAATTAAAATTATTGCCCTTGGATAAGTCATACTATATAGTGCGTAAGATAATATAATACAACTGTAATTGTAAGAATAATATTATTAAATTATTATTATTATCATTATGGTTATTAATATTTATAAAATGTTTGGTAAATACAAGAGAAACATTCTGTTTCACTCAATTATTTAACAAATGCGAAAGCCCGCGAACACGTTTAAAAACAAATTCCCTTCAGACGGTCATACTGATTTTGGCGGGCCAATCATAGAGCCTTATTTGCAATCCTATTGTTAAAGGCCCGAGTGAACAATCTGTTTTCATATAATCTGTGATATGAGTTTGTTAGGTTGTAGAACGCGGTGTGTAAAGGAATTATTATTTTCTATACTCTGCGCCATGAGAGAAGTAACCCGTTTCGCGCATCACGACTGTCCCGAGGCCCCATTTCCCCCACTTTGTGCCATTCGGTGTCGCGCTGAGGCGTGCATACAGCGCGAAACAGACGATATACAGAGTGATTGTGTATAGAGTATATTATTTATTATAATTTATAAATATTTATATTTATAAATTAACATAATTTATTATATTATTATTTTATTTATTATAATAATATAATATGTTATTATTATAACATATTTTTACAACCAGGTCAAGTGAGGTCAGAGGTTTTTGTGTACAGGCAAAGGAAAGCCGCGTCCCGACTTTTGGTGTACAGGCAAAGAAATGACGCATCCCAAACCTTCGTGTATAACCTAATTATATAAATTAAAACTAAAGAATATTTAAATTAAATATGAATTTAATATTTATTATAAAATATATAATATATTATTTATTATTATATTATTATTATAATAATAATATAATAATGTAATAATTCAACAGTAAACGCAAGCGCGTGGTTCAAAGACGTAAGACGTGAGTCTTATGACTTATGACACACTGTATCGAGTTTACGTTATAATACACCCTATATATGCAGCGCCGCCGCCGCCGCCGACCGTGGGTGTGGCCTATCGGTGGCGATGCGCGGAATCGGACGCGTTTCGGTCGAGCAACGGGTTACTTCTCTCATGGCGCAGAGTATATCCGGTTTGTCCGACGGGAGGGATGGACGCGTTACTAAAAAAAAAAAAATAAAAAACCCCGTAGATTGTGGCGCGTCGTTTAAAACTATATTATCTGAAAGTAGGTAGATACGGGCTCCGCACGTTTCCGCGGCACTGAATTTAAAACACACGGACAGTGACGATATCAATAGGTTCTGATAAGTTTGTGAAAACTGAAAACTAAATAATATAACAATTAATAATATATCACTTGCTAATGTGAAATGGCCATTGTTGAGCTGGCGTTTGTATTTTGTGTATCGAATAGCCTATGTACGATTAATTATAAAAGTCAAATTTTTTTTTGAAATTTTAGGAAAATATGAAAAAACCCGTTTAATAAAATGTCCAAAACAAACGGTCTTTACCTACAAATTGCAATTTTTTTTACATACATATATAGCTAATTTAAGTGTTATCTATAGCTAATATTGTTTTCCCGTTTTTTTTCTAATTTGTGTAGTAATTTTATAAATTTTTAGTAATATAATGTGAATAAATTCGATGAATGTACAAATAAAACACACGTGTACAGACCAACGACAAACATAATAAATGATACAAAAGACGATAACGCACACGGCGTCAAAACAAAAGGCGGTCGTCGGTCGGTGATATTGTCTATACAAATTAAAAACCCCAGATATTAATAACTTAAATAGGGTACAACACTACGAATAATAATAATATTATAACGGGAGACGAGACCGTGTATCAAAATAATTTGGTGGCCCTGAAAAGGGCCGTTTTAAGTGGATATAGCGCGCGACTAATATCGAAACGCTTATTTGGAACTGGTGTACTTGGTCACGGCCTTGGTGCCTTCACTGACGGCGTGCTTGGCCAATTCACCGGGCAACAGCAGACGGACGGCGGTCTGGATCTCCCGGCTGGTGATGGTCGAACGCTTGTTGTAGTGGGCCAGACGGCTGGATTCGGCGGCGATGCGTTCGAAAATGTCGTTGACGAAGCTGTTCATGATGCTCATCGCCTTGGAGGAAACGCCGGTGTCGGGGTGGACTTGTTTCAACACCTTGTAGATGTAAATACCGTACGATTCTTTCCTCTTCGGCTTGCGCTTCTTGTCGGACTTGGTGATGTTTTTCTGCGCCTTGCCGGACTTCTTCATGGCCTTGCCTGCGGATTTACCTCCTGGTGCCATAGTGACTGCGGTTGTACACGGTTTGCGGGTCGTCGAAATAGTTGGCCGGTAGCTGGTGGACGAATGATGGTTCGAAAATCGTTTACGCTCATA